AGAGTCACACAGACTAAGGTTGTTTCAGGATCAAAGTAGAATAACGAGCCGCAGAAAACCTCTCTTTACAAGTTGAGTCAACGAGAAGATCGTTATCCCATCAGTCCTCAAATCCAGGGCCGTAATCTCTCTCATTACAAAATTCACTTTCTATTGTCTTTTACCTTTTTACCTTTTCAGCAGAACAAAATTTTTATTTCGTCAAATTTTCGTTTAGCAGAATTTCTATTTAACCTAATTTAAAAATAAGCCGAATTTTTATTTGGCAGAATTTATGTGAAACATTTTTATTAAGCAGAATTTCCATTTAACTTAATTTTTTAATTCACCAAATTTTCATTTAACAGAATTTCCATTAAATATAATTTTCAATTAATCGAATATTTATTTGGCAGTATATATGTGAAACATTTTCATTTAGCAGAATTTCCATTTAACCTAACTTTCAATTAACCAAATTTTTATTTAGCCTTTTCATTTAACAGAATTTTCATTTAGCAGAATTTTCATTAACCAATTATATTATTTAACCATATTTTAATTTGGCAGAACTTCCATTTAGCCAAATGAAAATTTAGTGATTTGAAAATTCTGTCAAATTAAAATTCTAATAAATAAAAATTTGGCTAAATTGAATTTTTACTGAATGAAAATTCGGTAAATTGTACATTCGGTTAAATAAAAAATCTGTTAAATGAGCATTCTACTAAATGAAAATTCTGCTAAATAAAAAATATTTAACTTCCATTTAAAAGGAAATTTCTGCTAAATGGAAATACGGTCAAATGAAAATTGTGTTAAATATATATTAAATTACATATGGAAATTCGGTGCAATGAAAAAATTACGCAAAATGAAATTTCGGCTAAATAAGAAATTATGTTAAATGAAAAAATTGGCGACTTATTATTATTTTTGGTATAATAAATATTTATTTAAATAAAAATTTTGTTAAGTAGTATAATTTTTCTTTGATGAAAATTATATTAAATGGAAATTTTGGTTAAATTGAAATCCGATTTGAAAAAAATATTCGGTTACATGATAATTTTTCCTAAATGCAAACTTGGTGTAGCAGAAAATTCTGTTCTAAAAATATGCAACTATGTAAAAATTCTGCCAAACAAAAATTTGGTGCAATACAAATTTGGCGAAATAAAAACTAGTTTAAATTTCTTTTCAAACCTAAACAAAATAAATTTGGCTAAATTAAATTCAGTAGAAATTTTATTAAGTTGAAATTCGGTCAAATGATAATTTGGCTAAATAGAAATTATGCTCTTTAAAAACTCAGTTTAACAAAAAATTTGTTAATTAAAAATTTTATTCAATTAAAATTAGTTAATAAGAAATTTCACTCTCTAAATTTTGCTTCAATTTAAAGGTCCCAATAAATTTTTAAAATAAATTTTATCATACCCGTGTTTTTTTATACCAAAAAAAGAAAACAAAATCTTTCAATTATTTTTTTCAACGAATATAATTAAAAATTTTCATTTAATTTTCCAAAGGAGAAAGGCAAATGTATAAAATTGACAGTTTAATATTTATATAAAACTAGATAGAGCAATTTTCTATGATAAATTGTAAAGGGCAAAGTATTGTTGAATTTATAAATAATGAGAATGATATATGTAAATTTTCGTCTATAATAATAATGGATGAGAAATGATATTCTGTACCTATATATATTCTAAAATAAATGACGAAAATTATTGAGGAAGCCTGATTGTTGATCCGTGCCTGAAGCTGAGAGAACATTCCACCCTATAATTCACACCTAATCGGATTTTAAGATGCGCTGGAAGATAACATTGAATCCTAATTCCCCACACATATCTTGTGACTCGTTGACTTTCCCGCAGTACTTATCGAGCCATTTGCCTTCTCACGACACAACAGATAACGATGCTCGGCCACAGATCTCGATTAAGTCGTAAAGCCTCTTTGAAAATCGAGCGGATTTCTCAGATTTCCGATCATCGTTGCGAAAAGTCTATAAACATTCGCGAAAGTTCTTGAAAACAATTCATGTATTCTCTATATCGCGGCTTCTACATTATGAGCTTATAAATAAATCATGTATATAAATAGATATACACAATACATCCTTCTTCCTTTAAACCGTTGTATTATTGGCTACTCTGAAAACCGTGAAAGTCATTTTCACTACTGATTGTTAAGCGAAAATGACACTAACGCTTTTTCGAGTTGAGCCCTTTTCGAAATTTACGATTCAATTTAAAATTAAAAATTATTGTTAAATTTAATTTTTATTGAATATAAATTATATGAAGGAAAATTTATATTTAGAAGAATTTCAACTTACTGGAATTTTTATTTAACTTGATTTTTTACTTAGAATAATTTTTATAAGGCTGAATTCCTTTATTCAATATAGAATTTCAGCATAGGAAACTTTTTAATAAGCGGAATTTTCATATACAAAAGAATTTCTATTTAACGTAATTTTTATTTAACCGAATTTTTCTTCAGCCGAATTTACAAGCAACACAATTTTTATTTAACTTAATTCTCATTTAGCAGAAATTCTATTTAACATTACAATAACAAAATTTTCATTCAGTGGAATTTCCATATAACAGAATTTCTATTTAACATAATTTTCAATTAACCGAATTTTCATTTAGCCGAATTTTTTTTGGCCGGCACAATTTCCATTTCATTTAATTTTTATGTAGAAGAATTTCTATTTGACAAAATTTTTATTTTTACAGAATTTCTGGATAAAAGAATGTTTAATAAGTGTAATTTCCATATAATAAAATTGCCATTTAACCTAATTTTCAAATAACCGAATTTTTTATTTACCCGAACTTCCACGTAACAACATTTTTACTTAACCTTTTTTCTATAAAACAGAATTTCTATTTAATAAAATTTCTGCATAAAAATGTTTAATAAATAGTGCAATTTTTTTAAAACAGAATTTTCATTTAACCTAAATTTCAAGTTCAATCAATAATCATAATTTTTATTTAGCAAAATTTCCATATATCACATTTTCTGTTTAGCCGAAATTTTTATTTAATAGAATTCCTTAACTGAATTTTCACTTAGTCAAATATTCATTTAGCTGAATTTTTATATAACCTAATTTTCAATTAGGCAAATTTTTATGGGGCAGAATTTATGTGTAACATTTTCATTTAACAGAATTTCGAATTTTCATGTAACCGAATTACCGTTTAACGTAATTTTCGATTAACCGTACTTTTATTTAGCAAAATTTATGTTAAACATTTTCATTTAGCAGAATTTTCATTTGACTCAATTGTTATTAAATCTACTTTTTATTTGGCAGAATTCCTATTTAATAAAATTCCTGCTTAACTAAATTTCCCTTAATCGAATTTTTATGTAACTCAATTTTTATTTAACGTAATTTTTAATAAACCGAATTTTTAATTGGCAGAATTTATGTGAAAATCACCCGTTTAAATTTTCATTTAGCAGAATTTTCACATAACATAATTTTTATTTAGCAGAATTTCTTTTTAATAGAATTTTCATTTAGTAAAATTTCCATTAACATACTTTTTATTTAACCAAATTTTTAGCTAATTAAAATTTTTAATTATTAGCATTTTCATTCAAAGAAATTTCTATTTAACCGAATTTTGTTACCAGCAAAATTTTAGAAAATGGAAATAAGAAAAAATGTAAAGTTATAACAGGTGGAAAGAAAATTCCGTCAAATAAAAACTTTATTATTTGGAAATTTAGTGAAATTAAAATTCTGCCTAAATGAAATTCCTATTAATTCCATTAAAATTATTGTTATTAATTCGATTAAATAAAAATTCAAATAAATCAGAATACTGACACATAATAATAATTTATTTAAATCGAATTTTGTTTTTTTTTTCGAAATTTGGTTAAATTGAAATTCAGTCAAATAAAAACAGTTTTTTTTAAATATTCCACCAAATAAAAATGAGGTTAAACAAAAATTCGCCCAAATATAAAAAAAATATTAATTGGTAATGGTAAATATACTAAATGAAAAATTCATCTAAATAAAAATTTATACTTTGTCTTTTATTGAACTATTCAAATAAAAAAAAATTTTATTCCGCGCATTTATAACGTTTTTTTTTACGTTAATAAAAAAAATGATTGCATGGAAAAAAAGTATAGCGTTAAACGAAGCCAAACTGATTATTATTAATCCAAGATCTTAATTTTCTACGATAGAAATATTTCAACAAAACGGGTAATTTTCTCTATACGATACAAAAAGAAGAATAATTATACTTATTAATTGTGAACCGAACGTAATAAAAGACTGAGAAACATTGTCATTAAACAAAGTTCCAATATTAGTAATTTTCATATTTTTTTTTTTTCATTCACTATAGTAAAAAGAAACTTGGAAAATTTGCATGGAAATTGTTCGAATATCAATGCGCCTTAGAAAATGACATGTGGAATATTTATGTATACGCAAAAAAAAAAGGAATTTACAGATAAGCGTGAGATAAATAAATTAAAATATAAATATCAATTTTTTTTCATAAATATAAATAAAAAATACTATTTTTTAGGGACGTAAATTATTATAAATACGTTTTTGTGGGTTATTGCTTCGCTATTTTAAATATTAAGAATTGTCAACATTAGAGAGTCTTACGAGGATAATCTTAATTTTAAATTTACGCGGGCGTTTAGTGGCGCCATCTATCAGCAGATTTGCGAGGTTTTGTTAGAGAACGTGAGAGTTCTCTCTACTAATCTTTCTTAGTTCATGGCATTGCGACGCAACTTTATCGTTTTCTTTATAAAATGGCAAAACAAAACTCGATTTAATTAATCCAAATTCATCAAAGTGTAATAACAATTTTTGATAATAAAAATTTAATCTAATTGTTTAATGAAAATGACTGATATTATTATTTGTAAACGTTCTAACCAAAAAAAAAAAAAAAAAAAAAAAAAGCTCAATTCCGAAAATATTGATTCAAATATTATTCTCTTACCTTTTTCAAGTGCTTGTTGACCCATTTTGTAAACGTCTTTTTCTGTATGGCATCACGTTCATCTGGAAATAAACACAAATTATTAATTATTTCTATTTCTATTTGATATTTTGCTAGAAACAATTTTTATGTTATAATTAATTATTATCATAATACGAGTTCATAAAAATTAATTTTATAAAATATTTACATTTTTGATATCATAAAAATATAATTTTTTGGTAAAGTAAAAAAAAAAATGCATGACTTTTAATAAATAAGAATAAATTGTTGATGAATTACGATCGATCTTTTTGATTTAGTGGCTCATGCCTCCCCATGAGCATTTAACCTAATGAACTTTAAAAATTGCTGACACGCACGATTTGATATTAAAAGAGAGGCTCCACACCCTTATGACTTGAGTGATTAAGCTGAGGAAAATTTTTTATCCAATTAACCTATTGCCGGAGAAATTTTAAACTCGCAGTAAACTTTTTCTAAAAAATAAACACACATACATTTATTTATTTATTAATATATGTGTACATATATACACAAAACTTTGTTTCTTCGAAAGACACAAGATTCTCGATTTGCAATTTTTATTATCTATTAAGTCTTAATGAGTCTGTAATGACCATCCAATAAATATTAACTCTTCTCAGTTTAGTATCGATTATAAATTATCCATAAGCTACCAATAAACCACTATGTATTCTCCTACATGAAAACTATAGTGTTGGTTGATAATTATATATTACTGTAAATAGCATCAGTTAAGGAGTAGTAGTATTTACAAAAAATTATATTATTGAGGAAAAATTATTTTTCTAAACGGTTGTGAATACTAAAAATAATTATTTTTGATTCAAATAATTACTTTTTACATTTGAACTAGTAAGAATGAAATTAATTTAAATTAGTGGAAATTTCTACCATAATTTTTAGTTACTTTTCACTAAAAATTTATTGAAAAAAAATATTAGTAAATCAATTATAGTAATATTTTACTAAAAATTAATTAAGCTTTACTTGTTCAAAAACAAAAATTGAGACACTAATTTTTAGTTAAAATATTTACCAATTCAAATAAAAATTATTTAGTCAAATTAAATATTTATTTTTGATAATAGCCAAGTAACTGATTATTTGAACCAAATAATAATTTTTTATTCCGAGATATTATTTATTGTATATTTTTATATTTATATAACAGACAAAATAAACGATAAACAAGACGCTTGTGCTCTCTTGTCACGGAATTCCAAGATCGATTAAATCATTATAGATATTAAATTAAAAGTTTAATTAATCAGGGAATTTTTCGGGAAATGTTCAAAACACATAAAAAAAAGGGAAATTAACAGTTGTCACAAACAAATATTAATGGGTAAAAAGGGTAAATAACACATTTTTATAATAAGAGAGAAAACACATAAACAAAACATGTCGCAAAATAATGTAACACTTCAAAGAAAATTAATAAAGAAATTCGGCAAAGGAAATTCAATTTAATAAAAGAAAATGGACGATAGTATCACAAAAAGATAAAAATTAAAAATAAGAATTAAAATTTTTTGCTGAATTTTTAAATAGGAAAAATTCCCTTACCAGAAAAGAATATAAATGAACAGCCAATATAATCACTATTATATAAAAGTTGAATTATTTAAATTAAGTATAGATGATAGTTTTTTTTTGGATTTTCATAATTTAGTAAAGATGTTATTTGTTTTTGGTAAAAATCCACATTTTATTTTTAAAATTTTTATTAAATGAGCTTTCGCCCGTCAACGTCGGACCTCATCAGATTTACATACTGAAATTAAATTTACATTTTTTGAGTTTGTTATAAAAATAAAATTTATTGTCTTCTGCTACCAAACATAATTTTCGTGTGTTGATCGAAGGACGTATTGTAAGGGTATTTTAGGGGCCCCTTTTTATTCCTTGAAAACAATGATTTATTATCCAATCCAGATGTTATAAAACATATATTAACACAAAAAGGCCGGAAGGCAGCAATCTCGTTATAAAACATAATAAATATCAAATATCCTCGGGCCATGGATTTTCAGGAATATGGAATAAGTTTTGAACTTCTGATTGCTCGATGGATAACACATTAGAAAAGGCGGCAAATTTTGAAATATTTTCTTGAATCTTCGATAGATAATTATTATTTTCCAATAGATAATAGGCGTCCCAATAATCCCTGGAATAAAAATATAATTTCCCACCATGAATCATTGAACAGGAATTATATATAGGAATCAGGAAACGGAGTTTACATAAATGAAATAAATTTACAAAATTAATAAAGGAATTTAAAATTAATTAAATTAAATCAATCTTGGAATATCCGCTGCAACGTCACAAATTACTTTATCATAATTTCTAACAAACAACATTTTTACTAAGCCAAATTTTTATTTAGCAAAAAATTTAATTACCAGAATATTTATCAAATTAAAAAATAGATATCTATTTAAAAAATATTTTTGACTAAATAAAATTTTTTAACACAATTTCCTTAAATGGAAATTTCACACAAAATAAAAATTTGTCCATCTAAAAAATTTACTATTAATGTAATATTTGCTATATAAATTTTTTTTTCCCTAGTAATGGTAAATTAAAAAAAAAAAAAAAAACAAAATCGGGGCATTGTTTTCTTTAATCTAACAAGATACCGTGCGAAAGTATATATTCTATACTTCCTCGACATGACAGCATGTCCCACGTGGAAAAAGAACGTGTATCTATTCGAAAGCTCGTACCTTCGTTTCGCAAAAGAGGTTACTATTTATGTATAGACATACACTATATACACAAATAATACGACAAAATAATTTCTTGTACGTTTTTGTACAGATAAAAAAGTACTAAATATAAAAAAATTTTACAAGTAATAATTAATGCAATATAATTTCTGAAGTGATTTAAATTAATTTTACTAATTCATAAGGCTGCTTTCACAATAGCCAAATAGCATCGTCTAGCAGACGATTTTTTAAAACGAGACGATGCGCGCGCATTTAATGGAAATATCGAGACGTATCGTCTCGCCAAAAAAATCGTCTGCAAGACGATACGATTTAGCTATTGCGTGAAACCAATCTAAAGGGAAACGTTAATAAAATTAGTAAAAAAAATGTACTAATTCAAATTAAGAACATATTTTTATTATAATAAAATAAAAGTCAAAAATTCATATATTCAATTTTTCAGCACACATCTTAATAATAAATAAATATATATAGTATAAATAAAAAATAAATATAGTATAAATCGAAAAATGTCTTTAAGGTTGAAGTTCGTGTAGAACGCAGAATAATATATACAACCCACCTGAAAAAAATTTCCGATGACGAATCACGATTTCTCACACCGCGATCATAGAGCATATGCTTCATGCCAACATCATAAACAAAATGTTGGTATATAAAATCACCTTTCAAGTCAATGACATCAGTCAGTATATAAAAAAAAGAAAATAACAAAATGCATAATATTCAATTTAAAAGCAACAATTCAAAGCAGGTGTGTATCAAAGAAATCGTGAATAATAATTCGTATTGTTTGTTCGTATATTAAATTGCTTTTAGATATATCGGACAACGACAACGCAACGTTTCAAATAGCTCGAGGGATTTGCACGAAAATTCCATGAATTCCAAGTACTAAACAATATAACAATTTTTTTTCTTTTTTTTTTTTTTTGAAAATATATTTACAACCAATCATTTTATTGTTCAATATTTTATCATTTATTATTTATAACCGAATTTTTATTTGGTCAATTTTACAAATTCGATTAAATAAAATTTTGATTTTTTGAAAATTCGATCTTTTGGTAATTCGTACTTTAAAAAATTCGGTTCTATGCTAATTTAAACTTTTAAAAATTCCTACTTTTTTTTTAATTCGAACTTTCAGAAATTCTATCTTTTTAGTAATTCGAATATTTTAAAATTTCATCAATAAGATATTCGAATTTTTAACAATTATCTCTTTTAATAATTCAAATTTTTTGTAATCCGAACTTTTGAGAATTCCATTTTCTGATAATTCGAACTTTCAATAATTCGAATTTCTAAAAATTCCATCTTTTTATAATTAGAACTTTTAATAATTCGAATTTCCAAATATTCGATCCTTTTGTGATTCGAACTTTTAAAAATTCCATCTTTCTACAAATCCCACTTGGAAAGATTTCCCGGAAAGTGCCCCCTGAAGGTTCTATCAGAATTCCGCCTGAACTTCCAACGTAATTCCGTCAGAATTCCATCGGAGTTCCGAAGAATTTCCGATGGGATTCCGATGGAATTAGGACTCTAAAAATTTTGAAAACATTAATCGGAATTCCGTCGGAATCCCATAGGAAATTCTTTGGAACTCCGTTGGAATTCCGACGGAATTACGTTGGAAGTTCCGGCGGAATTCTGATAGAACCTCCAGGGGGCACTTTACGGGGAATCTTTCCAAGTGGGATCGCACGGTCAGAAATTCGATTTTTTTTTAGTAATTCGAACATTTGTAAATTCGTATATTTGGAAATTGTTACAAATAAAAATTCGAAATTTTATTAATTCGAATTTCTAAAGATTCAAATTTTTTGTTTGCATGTGGGAAACTTTGTTCGTATTGGCACAGACATAATATACAATAGGGTGAGAGGGGGGGGGGGAGCGCTTTGTCTCTTGAGTACATTTACTCCTTTTTTTTTTTCTCTTTACCCTTCACTCTACTGGCATGTTAGCGTTGGAATAAAATGTCGCTCGATCACGACGAGATCGATGCTGATGTCAAGAAATAAAGTCATAGAAAGTACCAAAGCTTCTAGGAAAGCCATACATTATCCTTGACCAGCCAAGTACTTCCTGCAATCTATCAAGATTGTTCTATTCAAAATTGTTTTTTTTATATTTTTTTACTAATAAAAGTAAAAAAATGCAAATTTTTTATAATTTACTTTATTTATTAAATCTACTATTTCGTGTCTGTCGGTAATACAGAAATCTAACTCAAATTTTTTTTAAAAAACTATTTTTAATTCAATTTTATGTGACCTAATGGG